ACACATACCCACAAACACATATTCACTCACTTTTCTGGGGCAAGGCAAGGAGGGCTCAAGAGAGATTAAGGTTATATTCCCAGCTAACAAGTGGAGCTCAAGGCTTAATAGCTTGTTTACATTATAAACAAGTCAAGATAAGATTATCTTTTTGCTTGTGAGGTTAAGTAAAAATCATTTGACCAGAGAATTCCATATTGTAAAAACCACTTCTACTTCAGGGCTGGAAAGATAGTTCAGAAGTTAAGAACACTGACTGTTCTTGCAGAGGACCCGGGTTCGAATCCCAGCACCCACATGGCAGCTAACAACTGTCTGTAGCTCCAGTTCCAGGGGCTCCAACAGCCTCTTCTGTTCTCTGTGTGCATTGCATGACACGGGTGCACTTACCTACATGCAGGCAATACACGCATACATACATATAAAATTTAAAAAATAAAATAAAATTTAAAAAAAATCACTTCTACAGTACTGCTTAATTATGCAACCTGAGTCTGTATATTTTTGAGGAGTTGAAATTAAGAAGTAAGGCACAGACCAGGTCTCATGCAGTGGTTTTTTACACTCTGGGAGGGAAGGTGGAAGAAAGGACCTGTAGAAGGTGGTGAGCCCTAGACATGGTAGCACACACCTTTAATCCCAGCACTCAGGAGGCAGAGGCAGGTGGACCTCTGTGAGTTCAAGGCCAGCCTTGTCTACATAGTGAGTTCCAGGACAGCTGGGGCTACAGGGAGACCCTGTCTCAAAAAGACCAAAAATAAATAAATAAATAAAAAAGAAGAATCCCAGTCATGGCCTAAACAGAATGTCTGGATTTGAAGAGCATGGAGTTTGTTCTTTGTAAATTCCCACTGAAAGGAAGGAGAACCAGTGAGGGAGAAGGTCACAACAGTTCCCAGGGCATGAGTATTGGGCAGAGAAGCCAATGTTCTCTGGCTTTCTCTCATGTCATCAGCACCTGCTGGCCTCTGTATTAGTGCGTGGCCCTCTTGGTGGCAGTTCTGAATCCTGCCACAGTGCTTAAAGATGAATAATGGGCCTCACAAGATCTGGCCTAGAATCTCCAACCCTATTAAATGAAAACAAATAAAGCAAAAGGCAAAACCATGTTCTAGAGACTAATCAACTAGCCTAGAAAGTTGGTAAACCATTGTTATTAAAACAGGAAAACCCGGTGTGGTGGCACACCCCTTGGAATTGGAGGCAGAAAGACCAAAGTACAAGCTAATACTCAGCTATATAACAAGTTCAAGACCAGCTTGGGCTACACAAAACTTGTCTCAATAGAGAACAAACAACAACAATATCATGTAAGCTTTAACATTGAAAAGTAAAGAGGGAATGTTCTACATAGTAATAAATCATTGTGGGACAAACTACAAAGAAATTATGAGCACATTGAAAAATTGTCACCATTTTCTCTTGTCTTTTACATACTTCAAAAGAGTAGACTATAACCTGCAGGATAAATGCTTAATAAAAGTCTAATTAGTGTCTTTCAATGATTGGTTGAATAATTAGGAGAATCGATTAGTCAATGAACAAGTCAATTTTTTGATGCTTCAGCCACAAATAAAAGCTCACTCTACCTAAATTCTGTTGTATAATCCCGTCTTAGAAAAATGGTTATAGAAATTGTCTCTCAGGCTGGAGAGTTGACTCAGCATTTAAGAGCATTGGTTGCTCTTGCAGAGAACCCAGGTTCAATTCCCAGCACTCACACGGAAGCTAACAACTGTCTTAGCTCCAGTTCCAGGGGATCCGATGCCCTCTTCTGACCTTAGTGGACATTGCACAACATGGGTATACTTACATACACGCTGACAATATACTCATATACATATAATAAATAAAATATTTTTTAAAAATTATCTGTGGCTATTTTGTAAACCTGATTTTCTACTCAATACACAAACCAATGACAAGCTGTGCTTGAACAATTTACCAGTGACAACTGACAAAATGCTAAATTCAGTTTTTTTCTCTCAGTTCACACCCACCTTCTAAAGCAAGGGATAGAATTAAGCACAACCTCTTAAATTTCCAAATCTGTATATCAGTAATTATTAATCTCAAACTGTAATTGAAGTGTGCCTGAGATACATGAGTTTACTTTTCTCTAACTCATAGAAGATTCATCCTGATTCTTCTTATGCTTGTTGTGTGAAAACATAATCTAAACCAGCTGAGGTGCCCCTGTCTGTACCACTCTTAGATGTTCTGATAAGCTTAGCTCAGGTCCCATCTATATTTTCTATCATTTTTTCCCCTCTGTACTTAATCCAAACAGCTAGGCAAAAAGCCTTTGCACTTAAATCTTGTAAAACAGGGGTCATGCTATCTGCCCTAGGAGCTGGCTAAGAGGAGTAACAGGAGTGTCTTTTACAGGACCCTATAAAGTCTGATTAACGTTTTCTTCGATTTTGCTTCCCCCTTACTCAGCCTAGAGTTTCTCTAGAGGGTTATTTAAGCCACCTTAGGGTTCACTTGAGATGATCATAGTTTCTGTCCATGCTGTAATGTTCAAAAGATTAGTTTGAATCTCAAAAACTCAAGTTCAAATTAATTCATATAATTTTACTTCTGTTATAGGTATATATATATATGATGTTATCATTAGTAAACTCTTCTCAAAGTAAAATTACTCATAAAAATGGGCAAAAGCCCCCTCCAAAAAATGTGCCAGTTTTGGTTAAATGTATCAAAGTCTTATTTCTTTACATCCTTGTTCATATACAATATGTAAAGTTGTATCTACTACTGTTAATTTTTAAATGAAATTAT